AAGCAGTAATCCCGGCTAAAAGCACATCTGAAATACTGGAGAGGGTGCATGATGGACATCAAGGTCTTAAGTGCAGACAAAGAGCAAACACATCAGTGTGGTGGCCATGCATAGCATCACAAACCACGCAGAAGGTGGAGAACGGCATGTACAGAGAACCTCTTCGGTCTACTCCTCTTCCTCAGCAACAGTGGATGAAGATAACCATGGACCTCTGTGAGCAAGAGAACATGACCTTTCTCATCATCTCAGACTCCAGATACTTGGAGATCCTGCAGCTGACTACTACTACAAGCTCACAGGTTGTCCAAAAACTGAACGCTAGATTTGCTGGTTATGGGCTGCCGTGCAGAGGAGCCTGGAGCTAACTGGCACACTTATGATGATATGCCTCTCATTATACATGCTAGACCTAAATCTGTTCTTACCGACGTTTAGATCCGTACGCTGAGGCACCTCCATGCCTTCAGACCAGCAGATGGAAGAGAGCGACCCAAGAGAAAGCCAAACGTGATGTTAGCACCTTTTTATATATTTACTGTTGTGGATACATGACAGTATAATTCAGTTATTTACAGACTGAGTGGTTATTTCCCTTGTTGTCATTAATGCTGAAGAAGATCAAAGAAATCCCAAACCCTCCCCACTGCCGTCGGCTCCTGCTGTCCCACCACTATCTTACATTATCTGGACATGTACAGGGCCAGATTAACACTTTGTTGTGCCCTGGGCAACAATATTCAAGGGCTCCATCATCTCGACCCGAGGATCACCATAATATGGTCACATACAGAATATTTTACTGTAATATGCAGTAAATATACTCAATACTTGAATGCCTGACAACACGTAACCCGCCCAGAGTAACCTTTGACCCACCTCGTGTGGACTGACCAATGAGGAGAGGGTCTTAACTTGAGGCCCTCTCTTCATTGGTCAGTCTGCATGAGACTGACTCTCAACTGACGTTCAGTCATAGGCAGCGAAGCGTCTCTGTGCAGCGCAAAAGCCCGGGTGGACAGTTTGTTTAATGTAGGGTGATCATATTTCCATTTCCAAACAAGAGGACAGGGATCTGTGCCTATGACGTCACACTATGGCAACGCCACACAAACCATGTTGGGACCCATTTTTTGTAAGAACTAAATTAATATCAGATTCTGCCAATTAAAGGGCTCTAAAACAATTCATATGTAAATATTTTGCATATTTAATGCAAAATCTCATTTTTCTGCTTTAGTGCTGCAACAAGGTTTTATTAATAATAAATTATTATACCTTTTGTTTTACTACAGCATCGGTAAGCTTCCTGTGCACAGATTATTAAGGATGCTTGTTTCGGCTGTGAGATTAGACGATAGGATCAATGAAAAAACAAGTTGTCACACACTCCATGGAAACTTTCAGAGAATCCACAAATGGTGGCTTTCATTGGTTTTGTTACTTTTAGCAGGTTTTTAAAAGCAGCAGATGAGACAGCATGTCTGATAATTTAGTTTTTCATCTGATAATATTAGAACATGTCAGTAATGTCTGAGGGGCTTTTATAAACACCATATAACTAACACTACTGGAGAGGGTATGGATTACACAGAGGCTTCTGGGGAGCCCAGTTATGGGGGGGGGTCCTTTTGCCTTGGTCCCCAAAATGTGTTGAAACGGCCCTGGGTGTGTGACTGAGTTTTGAAGGTGATCTGAATTGTATCAGATGTATAAATATGACATGTGTGTAACTTATTGTTTTATAGGTAAAAACGTGTAGTGGAGATAAATCTACCTACATTTGACTTTTCAACACTTTGTTTTGTTTTCTTGTTTTTATTGAACTATTTTCCTGTCCTGTCTGTCTCTCATCTTCCTGCATCGCCTCTAAACTCTCCAGAAAATCTGTTGCCTGGATTCTTACCTTTTCACCTCATCGGTTACTTCTGAGCAGATCAAAGATCTCCTGACCGTAAAGCGGAGAGCGCGTTTCGATGCTGCGTCAGTGAGGTGAAATCACCGCAGCACAGGTGGTGAGCTCCGCAGTAGCAGAGTGCTTCAGGCACAAGACAGAAAGTAGAGAACATGTGTGGACATGAACCATCATGTGTTCATTATAGTTTTTTGGTTGCGCCACTTTGAGAATGGACCGTGCGCTGGAAGCAGCCGCCTGGAGTGCTGCGCAACAACGATCATCGCTCTCTGCTGAAAAGAGTCCATGAATGATAATATAGTAAAATGTGTAGAAAACTTTATTCCGGCTCCCCTGGATGTGTAGGATATACAGCTCCCCCATCCCTGCTCCTGGATGAAAAGCCGGACATTTTCATCAATACAAGAACCCGGACGTCCCGGACAGAGGGTGAAGTGGACATGTCCGGGGAAACAGGACGTACGGTCACACTAGTTTAGTATAAAGCGGGAGATTACAGATACAGTACTTTGCTTGTGCCCTTGCTGCCCTGGGCCCTTTAGAGTTCGTGGGCCCTGGGCAATTGCCCAGTTGCCCATATGGTTAATCCGGCCTTGGACATGTAGCTGATGATCTGTAAGGATTGCTTTAATCAAATATCTACAAATGTTCCTCCAAATATTTTATGGTTAATTTGATGTAAAAGACAAGTCTGGTGTGAAACGGGCTTGAGGTGTGTTAGACGTAAATATCAAAGTCCGCCTTAAGACGAGGCCGATTGCAAGGATGCTTGGCGTGTGTAGGAACATATGTAGAAGCAACCATGCTGGTTCCCGCTGGCCGTCCTGTCCCGTGGGTCCTCGGTTTAACAGGGATGGGTGCAGCAGATGAACAGACGTGCAGCATCTTGTGATGCAGAAAGAAGGCTTGGTTCTGTGTGTGTGAGGGTGATTTTGCTAATACATTTAATGTATTTAATATTAAAGTTTATGTCGAATTATCAGTCTCAGATGACAAAGTGCACCACCACATGTACGTTCACAGAGGCCGTTTCTGTCCGTCACTTCAAACGTCTGTCTGTGCTGCGGAGTGTACTCAGCTGTCTCCTTTTACCGGTGAAACTAAGAATTATTAAGTAAAAACAACTAATCTGGGAAAACGGCCGGATCATTGGAGTCCAACACGGATCCAGACGGATCCAAACAGACTCCTCTCTGGATCTGGTCCAGATCTCATCCAGAGCACATGTGGACTCCGACATGGGTCCGTTTGCTGATCCGTTCTGAAGCGTACGCTACCTCCAGGGCGGATCCAGTCCAGAGTCAGCTTGCTATCTGGGTACCATCTAGAACCAGTCTGACCAGCCCCTGTAGATGGGTTTGGGTTCAAATCAAGATCAGAGCCTCTGGTGTCAATAACCGTGTCGTATTGAAGTCTCCGCCCTGATGCTCAGTTTGAACTTCAACAGGTTGTCTAGATAAGTGCTCTCCAACGCTGGTCCTTGAGGTCCACTTTTCAGCATGTTTTAGTTGTTTTCCTGCTCCAACACACCTGATTTCACTCGGCAGGTGATTAACAGGCGTCTGCAGAGCCTGATGAGCTGTTATACGGGTCAATCAAACACTATACCCTGTACCAACGGGCCACCATGGGCTGGTTTGGGCAAACCCACACGTACCATCGAGTTCACCCACAAAGCCCTGCTGTACGGCTTCATGACTGGGGCTCAGGTACCTTTTCCCACGTGGGCCCCTTTCAGATTTAGTTAAGGACGAATCACGGATGAATCCGTCCACATCCATCCCGTGCTGAGCCCTTGTGGGGCGCCCTGCACCTGCCCAGTAGATGTTTGCTGTGCTTTAACTTTGAGTATTTCTGTGGGCACCCCACAATGGGATCTGGCCCCAAACTACCCACAGGGGCCCCATAAGTGCCGTCCCATGTGGAGAATCTCGGGTCCGTTCAGTCGCTCCGCGTGGGCCAGAGAACCTCACTAAACAACTGCCATGACAGGAAGAAAGCACGTTTACCCACATGTGTGAAACGACATCATGTAGGTGTGACTCTCCTGAGTACTGCCCCGCCCTTGTTGAGTTGGTTTGCTTCAGGTTTATTTCATCATGCTGCTTGTTTGACCTCTTCTTGTTTCTGTCACTCAGTTGCTTGACTGTTTGTAAAGCGCTGTGAGAAGAGACCAGGGGGGTGTAGAAGGTCATCAGTCTCCTCTTGGTGCTGTTCCCACCCACAGGGTCGGTCAGCAAGTGTTCTCAATCACCACAGGATGACCTGAAAGGAAACACGGAGGCCCGAACAGAATCACCAACGCTCTTCTGGAAACTCGTTTCCTTCATCTCAGTTTCTTCTACGAAGCCTTCAAGCAGCTCATCTCTAACAGCTCCCACAGCGAGCTGAAGTGGAAAAACACTCCATGTTAAACAAAGGATATCCTTTAGACGGGAAGAGCCGTCCCGCCTCTGGAGGCCCGTGTTTACCAGTTGGCACCAGTTCACGCAGGCGTGGGCTCGGGTCCGCGATGCCTCTTCTGTGGAACAATCAGGATGTTCGTCTCCTCTCGCCTTTACGTTCAGGGTTTTCTCCAAATGAGAACAACATTACAGAAGGAAGCTCGTTCAGCCTCACAGACATGTTGGATCATATTTTATTTAATTTGTTGAATTAAAAGTGAAAACCTGAACCTGGATTCAGGATCTCAGACACGGTAACAGCCAGAACACACAGATCAGACATCACCGCCCCTTCGTGGCTCTCGTCAGAGAAACAGAGCCGTGATTCGGTCCAGACAATGGTGGTGTGCATGATGAAGAGCTGCCTCATTGTTTTCAGCCTGGAATGCAAACAGGAGCCCGAGCGAAGGTTCCTCTCATCTATCTGCTGACAGGCTGGCAGGTAAACATAAACACCATACCATGATTAAATGCTGCTGCCAGCAAAATGTCACCAGAGAGGCCAAAGAGTCATTTGTGGACAATTAGCCACACAATAGGTGACGCACGGCGCCACAAGCGGTTGTTTCCAGGTCTGAGAGGTAACATCTAAATAGAACAGTAAAGTTTATAAGAACAGGAGGAGGCAGGTACAGCGGCTGTGTCTTTGTTTAAACGTGCTTTAATTCTTACATCCCAGAATACCACATGCCACGTTTGTATGCTGCTACTGCAGGATTTCAGTGTGTGACCCAACGTCACACGTGCACACCTTACGTTCACGCGTGCATTTACAGACCTCAGCTGCTAAACTTGGTTTATAGATCATAACATAAGCCTGGAGCAATAGTTCACAGTGTATGAATGCTAGTTAGCTCTTTACTGTTGTTCTGAGAAGCTCGTAGCTCTGGATCAGCCCAGCATTCTAGAAAGATCCTGTTTGTCCCTGAAAGAGAAGAGAGAAGAGGAAACGTAAAACAGATTTCCTTTAGCCACACAGGAAGACACCAGAGAGTAACTAACATGGATCACTCATAACCAGTCTCACTAACCCACACCCACCCACACAGCTAAATCCTGTAAGTTTTACTCTTACTTCCACTAACATTCATCATTTTGCAACCATTAGAATAAACAGCTCACATTAACACATTTCTTTAGTCTTTATAAAATACCGTAACGTATTTACAGACATGTACGGAGTTACATGTAAAACAGCGTATAAAACAGGGTAGGGCTCTTGGTACCTTTCAGTTGGTGACAGAAACAACTTGAATCTGACAAAAGTAATAATAAATATGCGACAGATAGAACAGAACGTGCTTTTCAGAGCTAAACAGCCAGTTTGCTACAGAAACCTGGCTGAAGATCTGCAGAAGGACACAAAGACTGGCGTAACTTCACCAGATGGACATTCGGATTTGTTGGTGGAAGATCATCTAAAGTGTAAGTTTAGCAACAAAGCTAGCACCCGAGGCTAACAGGAAACGCGTGGCGGTGAGTGACACAGAGCAGCCTCGCCCACCTTGACTGAGAGCACAGGTACGGCTGCTGAAGGTGTTAAAGTCACCCGCCTGGGAGGAGATGTCTCTGACATAAGAAGCTGAAGATTTTAATGCCATTAAGTTGGAAACGGAACAACTTAAACCTCACATGGTCAACCATGCAAACGCCATACAAGATGACACTGATCTGATGAGGACAGGCATGCAAGAGATAAAAGTGGGATGAGGTCACTGCTCTGCAAGTCAGTCTCCAAACTCCAGAATCAGGTGGAAGCACTAAAACATCAGGATCGAAGGTGTGGCAGAGCTGCCCAGCTCCAGGTCTCCAGCACGGTTGCCTCAGCTCTCAAAGAATTTCTTCGACATGAAAGTGGACGGTTCACACCGTGCACCTTCTTACAGAACCCTGGGTGATCATTGCAAAGCTGCACTATGATGGAGACGTTGCCCAGATCCTACAGAAACCCTGAGACCAAGCATTGCTGTCCTACAAGGGCGAGCACAGCCACAGCAGCGTCCACAGAGGTACGAATCCAGTCCGCTACGGGCGGCTTTACCCAGCCAAACCTGCCTGCCTCAGAAATGGAGGGTTGCAGCTCTGACTGAGACAGGAAGAGCCTGAACAAGCTTGCTCAGCTCTGGGTTGCCAACTAGAATCAGCTGAGGAGACGCGTGAAAGGAGGGTGCTGGGGAAGATGACCCCTCCCACCCCCGCCCTCCCACGGTGGAGACCATGGACAGCTCCTTCAGAGGCAGACTGAGACATCCCAGATGTAAACCAGAACGCTGCCATAGGTCAGTCATCCCCTCTGACGTGAGAGTGTAGACCTCCTCAGTTCAGCTGGTACTGGCAGTATCCTGGTACACAGTACCACCAATAAAGTACTCGGTATGTGTTCAGTACTCGTTCAATACCAGATGTACGTAGTAGGTCCTTGTCTCTTCTGGAATGCCTAGTTCCCTTTTACTTGTTGTTTTTAGTGGTTGAAGGCTACAGTTCTAGCTCTGAATGTATGTGCCGCTGTAACAGCTGAAAGGTCCCACTGCAGGGTTAATAAAGTCTGTTCTATTCTATTCTATTCTACTCCACTCTACTCTACTCTATTCTACTCTATTCTATTAAGAGCCAAAATAGGGTCAAAGCACCCCAGTTCATGCTGGAGAACTTGTGGGACAGCTGTTGTTAATCCCACCCAGATATTCTGGAGGACATCTTTGAAGCCCTCAAAGTACTTTTTGAATGAGATGTCCCACAAAGTCCCTAGTGGCACTGCTAGGAGCAATCCCAGCAGGTATGGAGGGCAGGAAGGAAAATATCTTGTGAACATATTACTTACAGTTGCATTAAAATGCATCACCATAAGACCCTAACCCTAACCTGACCCTCCTTCAGAATGGATGGGTTCAGAAAGTACAGGACGTACACTAAACGGAGGACGTTGTCATGGTCCGAGGCGAGTGGCCTCCCTAATCCTCTGAGGTTCTTGCTTGTGGGAGGGCGGCGGCGCGGAGCTGACAGCTGTGGAGAATCATCTCATCAACCATCACGGGTATTTCAGGAGGAGTGAGACGCCAACACTACGATTAAGGTTGGTACTCCCTGCCTTGAGTGTCTCTAGCTGCTTCCCGAGTTATCCCGTCTGGAAGACTAAGGGCTGGTCAGACGCTCACACTCTACCGTCAGCACACCTGCTTCAGCCTCCTCTAACCAGCAGTGACGTTGCAGATCCGCTCTCAGGACCAAGCCTCACTGTACACCTGCTTTGGCTTCCCACCGTTTGAATACTTGGCTTAATGGTTAATAAGGCTGAGAACGTAACCTGTGGTTGTGACTTTGTAGAAGAACAGTTACAAAGAGTAACCGATGAAAGTCAGACGCTAGACGTTTAAACTCACGGAACAGGCATGGACAGACATGATGGTCCAGCGCTAGGAAAGACTGAAAAGGATGTGACCAGAAGGACACGGTAACTCAACTAATTAGCACCAGAGTGTCTACAAGCTGTCAGCCAGTGGGCCTCTTTACAGGGCTGCAGGTAGTCAGTGCGTTGTTTGGTGACATGGCGAGCACCATGCTCAACGTGGACCAGACGAAGCGAGAGACAGAGTTGTGTCAGGAGATTAGAAAGACAATCAAAGCTGCGAGCAGCATTATTTGGCCCTCGCAGCAAAGCTGTGGTTCGAGCCCCACCCACTCTGCCACCGGGGACGCACAAGCGCCGCCACTCCCCAGACACCTCAACGCCGTCGACTGCAAACACCACGGGCCATCACTTCATCCACATCTCACTCAGCCTCTCCTCTGTCTGCCAACAAACTGCACATCACCGCCAGGCGGCACAAAACCCCACCACCTATGAAACAGTCAGTGATGCTCTGCTCGGTTCCCAGGATAAATGTTTTACATGAAGTCAAAATCCCATTTTCTAAACAGATTCTGTACCCACTGCGTGCTCTGGGCGGGTGGTGGTGGTGGGCAACGTTCCCGTATACCACACCGGTGGGCTGAACGGTCATCCTCGTGGAAGCCCAGCAAATGTAGTGAAAATCTTTCAAATGCATCATGGACACTCGGCTGTTTCTAGAACCAGAGGCCTGCACTGTTGGCCTTCGCTGTCATTCCAACAGCAGATTACCGTAATGCCTACAGTAGAATACCTCCAAAACATGTTTGCAGTGCAGTCATTTTCATGTAGGTTTGAGTCCATTTAACAGCATCACACAGTTTTAACAGTAAGTCACAGTTTTCATGGAAACAGATGTGGGATACAGCAGACACAACAGCTGGGAATGATTCAGCACCGTTTGGAAATCTTTGGTTTTTCCACTGAAGATCCCAAAGAAATGACTCAAGTCCCTCAGGCTGCTTTACCAAAGCCCTTCTTTGTGAGATCAGCAGGACAAAGTACGTTACGTATTGTGATGTTTAGAGAGAGTATATTTTTACTGAGCTATCATAATAATACATGAAGGAATTCCTTAAAACTGGAAGGAAATGTTTTAATTACAGTCTCAGAACAAAGACTGAAGACTTTAACCGAGCCGGAAGTAAAACCGACAGCAGCAGCTCAGGAGGCAGAGCGGGCTGTCCAGTAATCAGAAGGTTGCAGGTTCAGTCCTGGGTCTGACCAGAAAATACTGCTGATGTGCTCTTGGGCAAGACACTCAACCCACCTTGCCTGCTGGTGGTGGTCGGAGGAACTGGTGGCACCAGGGCTTGGAGGCAACTCTGCAACGCAGACGCATCCGTCAGACTGACTAAATGAATGGTTGATATCTGCCTAGATTTATAGATTTGTACTGATAAATGTCCGATTCGTGCCAGTGACCCTTTATAAAGTTAAAGTCCCGTTAGGTGGAATTACAGCTCTACATGTGACCCCTCCCTGTGGGGAGCGGTGAGCTGCAGCTGTGGCTGTGCTCAGGAACTATTTGGTGGTTTAGCCTTCCAGTCCAACCCCTCACAGCTGAGTCAGTCATGGAGGCACCGGGTCCCACTTATACAGTCTTTAGTACCACCTAAACACGTATGACCCTGATCTCCCAGTCCCAGGGTGGACACTCGACCACTAGCTCACTGAGAAGGTGGCCTAGTGGTAGAGCCCAGTAATATTATTATTAGATATTTTCTTGTTTTTATTAACTGTGCAATAGAAAAATAATCATTAGATTAATTGTCTTAATAGTCATTAGAATAGTCGACTATTCGATAAAATAATCATCAGAATAATAGTTTTAAAAATAATCGTTTACCCCCGCCCTACTAATTATAGACAAGTATGTTAAAGATAACGGCCATCAGCATTTAAGATCCATGGGTCTGTAGCCAACCTCCCTAGACACGGCCGCAGAAGCAAAATGACAAATCAGAGGCTGATCATTCAGAATGGCAAGAAGAAAAACCTCTAAAGAGATCCGAGGTGAACTTCAGGGTTAACGAACATCAGTGTCTGAGAGCACCATCCGTCACTGGAGCCAAAGTGGACTAGATGGGAGACGCCCAAGGAGGATGCCATTGCTGGGAACAAATCCTAAAAAGCCAGCCTGGAACATGCCAACTACATGCTTACAAACCACAGAGCTCCTGGGAGAATGTCCTCTGGACAGAACAAAGGACCTTTTAGCCAAAGCACATCAGCTCTGTGTTCACACGTGGAGAATGAAGCACATAGAGAAAAGAACACCGTCCCTACTGTGAAACACGGAGGAGGCTGTGTCATTTTCTGGGGCTGCTTAGCTGAATCTGGCACGGGGTGTCTTACATCTGTGCAGGGTGTGATGAAGTTTCAGGTCTATCAGGGGATTGTAGAGAGGAATGTGCTGGCCAGCGTCAGAAAACGTGTCGTGAGTGTTGCAACAGGACGGTGACTCGAACACAGCTAAACACAACCCAGCGTGGCTCAGAAGAAGACATGGGACCAGTCTAAAGAGGCCTGACCTCAGTCCTGCTGAGCACCTCTGGAAGGAGCTGAAGCACGTCATCTGGAAAAGGTGCCTTTCAAACCTAAGAGGACTGGAGCAGTTAGCGCATGAGGAGTGGGCCAAAATACCTGCTGACAGGTGCAGAAATCTCTTCACCGTGACACGAATCGTCTGATTGCAGTGATACCTCAAAAGGTTGTGCAGTTCTATTCAATTCAGTTTGTTTTTATGGTAACAATTCACAACAAGAGTAATCTGAAGGGACTTCACAAAATAATGTATTCATTAAGCCAATCAGTAACAAGTTTCCTGCATAAGGAACCCAGCAGGTCGCATCGAGTCACTGACTAGTGTCAGAGTCTTTACAGCAATCCTCATACTAAGCAAGCATGCAGCAACAGTGGAGAGGAAAACTCCCCATATTTACCAAAAACTGTGTCTATGGTTACATTGTGGTTTGTTAGTAAATATTCTATTTGGCGAGAGATAAACTTTATTGTATTTATCCTAGTGGATCTATAATTAAACGGGTAAACTAGTAGTAGCACATCCAACGTCAAAGAGAGCAAAAAGTTATTAACAGGAGAGAGAGAATGTTTAAGTGGTTAGCAGCAGTGTGCTAGTCGATGGCCCCCTCCATGAGGCCACCACAGCTCAGCAGAACATCGTTTTAGCTTCTTCTGGGGAGAAAAACACTTGCAGAGGAAATAAACTAGTAGTAGCACACTCCAGGAAAGGAAGAAGGTCTAGTGGTTGGTAGCAGCGTGCCAGCCGAGGCCTCATATATGAAGTTGGGGGTGCCGTCTTCTTGACCATGTGAAGTTTCTTTGTATTTATTACGACTCGTGTCAGATTCAAGTCATTTCTGTGACCATTATGGGTTTTTCTTTTAGTGACTGAAGGGTACCAACTATTGTTTTTCCTTATGCTTCTTTTGTTATCCAGTCATTCTACTTCAGTCTCTCAGTTTCGTTCGTAATAAATACCAAAAGTAATACCATAGATATTGTTTTTAATTATTAGAATAATTTAACTTAAAGAAAACTCATTTACATTCTAGAATTATTGGTCTTACCCCCCCCCCCCCCCCCCCCCCACACACACACACACACACACACACCACCACCCGTTTGCCTCACTCACTGTGGACCAGGTGGGTTGATGAGACGCTGCAGTTCCTGGATGTGCTGGCTGACACTACCTGTTGGGTGAATGGGGGGGGGGGGGACAGAAGCATATTAGTTCCCTAATAACGGATTGTTCTTTTATCTAAACATTATGACCACTCTTTATAAGTGTCATGAAGGAGGGTTAGGGTTCTGTTGGGTAGAATTCTGCATTTAGTCGGTCCTACCTGGACCACCTGTGAGTCCGTTTGTCCTTCCTCCACCAATCGAAGATCCAGTTCCACCTGAACCGGTCCCAGTTGATGTCCTCCCGGGTATACTTCCTGTCTTACTTTGCCCCGAGTTACTGCTCCCCAACCCAAACCAAGGAAACCCAGAGCTTGCTGACCCACTTTTACCAGCTGACCCACTTGACCCGGCTGACCCAAAGCTGAAGGCTGAGGAACTTCTCACACCTGACGTTGGCTTATTTGAACTGGTTTCGCTTGAGCCCACGCTAGGGCTGGACCCAGCTGATCCGATGTTTGTTGAGCTCCACTCTCTTTCTGCTGGTTTGTTAAGTCCACTTGACCCTGATGACCCAACGCTTGAGGAAGCTCCCCCAGCTGATCCCGGTTTACTGTACCCAGACCCAGTGTTGCTCAGACTTGAGCTTGACCCAGAAGACGTGAAGGATGAACTGGGCAGGCCTCCCCCAGCTGATGCAGGCTTATCGAACCCAAACCCCGTGTTGCTCGGACTGGAACTTGACCCAGACGACTGTGGGGGGGAACCTGAAGAACCTGCTCCGTGTGATGTAAGCTTATTGAAAGCTGATCCAACGCTAAGGCTTGAACCTGGCCCACCTAGCCCTGCACTACCAACACCCACACCGGTAGAAGAGCTGGAACCCCCAGCACCCAGTGGGTTCCACACATTCTGATTAGGCGAGACTGGCCGAGCACCCAGGACACCTAGTCCTGTCTGAAATTAGGAGACAAGAGAAAACAGAATCTTAGTCTTTGAGTGACTGCTGAACGTTACGTAGACTACCTCCACCGAGAAATGGCCTCAAGCATGATCATGAAGGTTCTGCCTTCTGGTGAAGACCAAAACAAAAGCAGTGCTGAGCCTCAGATCTGAACTCAGCAGCAGACAGACGTGCTTGAAGGTGTCACCTTTCTGCTCCTTTGTTCTCCAGTGGCAGCCACTTCCTGTATGATGTCACCACCTCCACCCCAGCTTTGGACTGAGAGGCTGAACCCAGATTTCACACTGAGTGGTCTCGTGTGATCAGAGGGACCAGGGGCTGTTCCAGAAAGCACACTAATCCCAAATCCAGGTTTTCTTTTTGAAAATCCCAGTGTAAGCACCCCTAAATTGGTTCTACGAATGTGGCTAGCCTGAAGCCCCTCCCAGTCACCATGGTAACACGTGCTGGAGAGCAAACCTGCCCCACAGCAGGCTAGCAGCTAGGCTCACTGACACTTTGTGAATATGATTGGACGAGGCGAATGACATCACCTTGTTCTTGTGGGTGGCTGGCAGGTGGTGAATGAGCGCCCCCGCTGGCCCACAGCGGTAGCAGCAGCTTTGTTCTTAACGGCTAAATCATGAATAAATGTGGAGCTTAAACATGAGCTCTGACTGGATTTACATCTTTGTTGTGTTTAATCTTCGTCTGCAGCCGGGAGCGTCCGACTCCACTGATGCCAGCATTATTAATAATTTCAGCTTTAGTCCGGGCCGGGCCCGTATCATGAACACGCTGCCCTCTTTATGTTAAAAAGCCCTGAACTAGCTTGCAGCTGCTACTGTAGTACATGTAAAAGGAGATACTTTATTGGTGTGAGCATACATTTACACGTGACACACGCTAATACCTGATTTAAATGACGTGATGCTTTTCCACGGTGAGTAACATGGGAGCTAAACGGTTTACAGCGTTAACTTTGGGGTCATGTGACCACCACGGATAATCTCACAGCTGCTCCGCAGAAACAACGTCCTCCAGTCTAAAAGCATCCAGACTCTGGAGCAGAACATGAAAACCACATAAATGATGAAAAGTTGAATTAAAACCAGTGGAGAAACGAGCTTTAGCCCACTTATGGCGTTGCCGTGGAAACAGGTAAACTCAGCGTGTTGTAACTACGTGGCTGCAGCTACACGGCTCTGATCCAACAGCTCCTGGTCTCTGTTTGAGTTCAGAGTTGTCCTCGTGTCAGACGTGTAAATAAATAACTGAAGGAAGTAAATAATCTGGTGTGCTCGTCCTCTGCTGCCCACGGATTAACGCAGAAGGACGTGACCCGGTCCTGTGCTGGAAGGAGAACCCAGGTGTAGGTGGTGCTGTGTGAAGGAGATGTAGAGGACATGTTTTAGGACAGCCGAGTTTTGGCCGTCCTCAGATCAGTAATCGGCTCATAGATGTGCAGCTGAACTAATCCCCTGCGGTGATGTTCCCGCCATCGGTGCTGACCGAGTCCAGCTGAACCGACACGTACTCATCAGCTGTGGTCGCCCAGGCTTACCTTCATCATGCATGACGAGTTCAGCTGATTCAGCTGTTCCTTAAGGTGATCCACTTCTGCACCTTTGTACCTGACGCTGTTCCTCAGGACGTCGATCTCACCGTTCAGCTTCATTTTGTCCATCAGGAGTCTCTCCTTGTCCTGGTCGTGTTTCTGCTGGATCTCCTCTCCTCTCCGTTTGTTCCGCTCCACGATGCTCGAGCGGTTCTGGTTGCACCAGCGGTAATCTTCAGACAGACGCCAGTTCTCTGCCTTCAAGCGACTGTCCTCCGCCTGCATGTTGGACACCTGGTCTCTGATGCTGTTCAGGTAGAGCTGGAGCTTGTCCTCCACTTCCCGGGACAAGCTGGTGCAGTTGGAGTGGATCTGCTCCAGGTGTTCCCTCTGTTTCGGACAGCTGACTTGGAAGGAATAGTATTGAGGAAAGGACTCGATTTTTTCCAGTAAGGCCTTGGAGACTCCGGAGACAGAACCCAAGAACTGGGAGAACTTGTCTTTTAACATTTGCTTGAGAACGTCGGTCTCCTTTTCCAGCGTGGATTTGTCTCTCCTGAGGCGGATGCCCTCCAGGACCAGGGACTCTTTCTCTTTGAGAATCTGTTCTCTTTCCATCGTCATCCTTCGAGTGGTTTGGGTGAAGTTAGACTCAACGAGATCAAGCCGGGTTTTCATTTGCTCGTGCAGCAGCCCACAGTTACAAACGCTGCGCGGTGAAGCTGCAGAAAGACCAAAAGCATCAAACACCTGTTGGGATGAAGACGGCAGGACTTTGGAACAGCACACGCGGCTTGGGGAGAACTTTCTTACCTACAGTTGAGCACTGAGAGAGCTTGATCCTGCAGCTCGTCACTTCCATGTTGAGCTGTTGCTGTTGAAGGTCACATTTTAATTGATAACATTCAGAAAATATCTTTGACACAAATGTTTGTTTGCTTTTCTTACCGTTGCCCTTTCACAGTTCTGGATTATGAGGATGGATATGTTGCTCTTGCCGCGCAGCCGGGCCAGGTCCCAGTCGTTACGAGCCTTGCTGGTGAGGGTGATGTTCAGCAGGCTGGTCAGGTTGGCCCTCTGCTTTCTGAGGTCAACGTTTTCAATAGAAAGCCGACTGAAGCGCTCCTCCAGGTCCTGGACTCGTGTTGCAGAGTCCTGCGTCTTCCCGTAGACCAGAAAGAGGACCAGACTCACAATAATCAGAGACTGGATGAGCGAAGAGAAGAAGAAGACAATGCGCATGTAGTAACCACAACTCTTCCCTTTTGAGTGGTACTGCATCTTCTTCTGGGCCTCCGGGCCGAGCTTGTTCACCTGGCCGTAGCTGCTGCTGTACATGGTAGGAGAGGGAGGCGAGATCATCCAAACACTGAAATCAGGTCAGTTACAGCTGATGTTCAGAGCAGATGTAACACTCAGGATCATTTCAAAAGTCTTTTTCTGTGATGAAGCCTAGAGGTGTGTCCTCACGGCAGCGCTGACAAGACCGCCATCAACTGTGACTCACGTGTAAAC